TCACTGGACCCCATGCCTACTATCTTGGTCAAGGCATGCCTCTCTACCCTCTGTGTCATCGTGGTGGAGATCATAAACACTTCTCTGGTATCTGGCTTGGTACCCTCCTGCTTCAAATCCACTGCCGTTACTCCTATTCTCAAAAAGCCCAGTTTGGACCTGATGACCTCAGCAACTACCGTCCGATTTCCAACCTTCCCTTCATGAGCAAAATCCTGGAAAGAGCAGTTGCCGCCCAACTTCATCAACACATGTCCCACTATGATCTCTATGAACCCCTTCAATCTGGCTTCAGAGCACATCACAGCACTGAGACCTCCCTCATCAAAATCACTAATGACCCCCTCCTCGCCGCTCATTCTGGACATATCAGCATCCTCATTCTTCTAGATCTCTCTGCAGCCTTTGACACAGTGTCCCATACCATCCTTCTCAACCGTCTATCTGAATATGTTGGCCTCACCGGTTCAGCACTCTCCTGGTTTCAGTCATATCTCTCCAATAGGGAACAGTTTGTCACCTTTAGAGACTCTAGCTCCACCCCGGCCCCAGTCAAACAAGGTGTGCCTCAAGGCTCAGTGCTTGGACCCCTCCTTTTCACCATTTATATGCTTCCCCTCGGCCAGATAATACGTCACCATGGTCTCAATTTCCACTGTTGATGACACACAGCTGTATATCCGCACCAAACCATCCACTCAGCTTCCCCCTCTGTCACTTGTTAACTGTCTGACTGAAATAAAAACCTGGATGTCATCCAGTCTACTCAAGCTAAACAGCAGCAAAACGGAGCTAATGGTAGTGGCTCCCAAGCCGCTGCTCCTGAGGGTAGGTGATCTACTCCTCAAAGTGGATGGTTGCTCCATTTCTCCATCCCAAGAAGTCCGCAACCTTGGTGTCATTTTGAACTCCACCCTTTCCTTCCAGTCACATGTCAAACTCATTTCCATATCTGCTTTCTACCACCTCAAAAACATCTCCAGACTTTGACCATCACTCTTAGACTCTGTGGCAGACTCTCTCATCCATGCCTTCATCACCTCCCGCTTGTACTACTGTAATGGTGTCCTGTATGGGGTACCCAGCAAGGTCCTGCACAGGCTACAATATGTCCAGAACTCGGCTGCCAGGGTTCTCACACACACTAGGTCATGGCAGCACATCACCCCAATCCTCACGGTCAAATTCCGCATCACCTACAAAATCCTACTCCTCACCTATAAATCTCTCCATGCCACTGCCCCCCAGTACCTACTGGACCTTTTCCAACCCTACTCCCCCTCACGTTACATGCGGTCCTCGGACAAGGGCCTGCTCTCTGTCCCCCACACCAGACTGCAGACTTTTGGGGACAGAGCCTCAGCGTTGCAGCCCCCACCTTCTGGAACTCCATCCCCACAGAGATCCGAAATGCTCCCTCTCTAGACACCTTCAAAAAACTCCTAAAACCCACCTCTTCACAAAGGCATTCAACCATGAATGACTTTTTATTGCTTCGTCTCTGCAATTATGTGTAAAGCATCCTTGGGTCTCATGAAAGGTGCTATATAAATATAAGTTATTATTATTAGTGGCTTAAGAGACTCTCCTGCAATGAAAATGCTTTTTTCTGGATTCCTTCAAGTGATAATGTGTCTCAAAAAGAAGCAGCGGCTAAAATCTTATTTAAATTCCCTTTGTCTTAATAAAGGATGCATGCCAGTGCTAAGTTTGCTAACTGGAAATCTAGAATTTCAATTTACTGTTGCATTGGACAGAAAACAAAATGCAATTAAGGAGAATACTCACGAATAATCATTCCTCCACGTTTTCGTTCTCCTTCGGTTTTCTACTTAGTAAGATAATCCATGTCTCCCACTCAGTAACAACAGGGTGTGGATCTTCACTTCCAAACAAGAGTCTCATTAGTTCCACTGCATTTGCCTGGAAATGCTACACTTTTCCACAACTATTAATTTCTCCTTCTTGCCCCTTCTCACACTTATTGCCGAGAGCTATGGCTTTCTAACTAGCTTTTCCTTCAATTTACTCTCCCGGGGAAAAAAAGGAGGAGAGAATTCAGGAGACAAGTTAATGAAATTATTTTAATTGCTGTGTGGTTCTACATGCAAAGAGGAAATATAATTGGGGTTTGGTGTTGATGTGTGTGTTTACATGTCATGGCAGCTTGAATCAGTGGATTGGTAATTAAATCAATATTGTAACTTGTTATTATTCACGGACGACTAATGTTGTTGGTTTAGTCTTTGAACTTCCTGTTTAATGATTCAGTTTTAACTGCAGAACCAGGGACCACCTCTGTAATTGGTAGGCTTGTCAGTTAGTAGTTCAGTTAGGCATGAATGTATGAACAAAAGGGGTGTGTTGGCATTCTGAGTGAAAACTACCGGAAATGTATCAAATCTAGAGTTCTAAAATGACTCTGGCCCTGGCAAGTTCATTAACTTTCCTTTTAAACAAATAGCAAAAAACATTTTAACTTAGAAAGTTACTGTTTTCAGCCCATAAAGAAATTACATTAATGATCTGTTAATAGCAGATGAAGTGCAGTTTCTATTTATATATGATTGAATTGAGGGCATGTTGGACCCTCTCTGGTTTGTTTACTCTGGAGAGAAGTTAAATCTGGCAAATAAACCAGGTTATAGAGGGTGAAGTGGATTCAAATTGACCTTATCTTTGTGTGCATGCACGCTCATATATTAATGCTGTATTCATGTTTCTGTGTTTACATGCAGCACTGTTGTGCTTGCGTGCCAGACAAGAAATTTAAATGGAGAAGGGTTTACGTTTTAATGTGCTTTGTCAGAGGGCATTTAAATGTCATCAGCGGTTCCATAAAATTTTTTAAATGAAAACATTTTGTATGTGTAATCAAAAGAAAAACACAGAGAGTGAGGGAGAGAGAGAACAGGAAGAAGAAACTTAAGAGAGCAGCACAGGTAGAGTAGAGGAGAGTGAATGGAGTGCAGCAGAGGAGAGAAGGTACAGACCGACATCACCAACTTTAATCCCTGCAGCTAGCGGGGCAAAAAGCACAAATATAAACAGGAGGGAGCGCAGTGCAAAGGAGATGTGAAATAGGAAAAGGAAGAAGAGATTAGAGAAGGGTGTGGAGAAGAAAAGAGGATAAATGACAAACCAGAGTCGGGTAAATGAATGTTTTGAGAACTCCAGTGTTTACCAACAACAAAGCTGCTTCCTAAGAGTCTCTGGTGTGTATTTATCTTTATAGGACAGGGAGTGTCCCAGTTCTTTGTGTGTGTGAACTGCCTCTTTATAACATGTGTGTTTATATGTGTACAAAGGTATTAAGCATCAATGCGGATCCATTTGCATGCATGTGTGCGTAAAAATGCGTATTCATTTATCACATAATTATTTTCAAGACATAAATCAGATAGGATATAAGAGTTTTGGGAATCTGTTAATGTGAAAATCATTGATCAGGCTGATCAGAACTCTGGCTCTGTCATTATGGATACACATCTTACTGATCAAAACCTTGGCATCCAACAAAGTCAAGCAACAGTTGCTTTTTCTGTATCTTTCTCACTGCATTGTGACAGTGTGCACCTGTTTGTTTTGTGGATAATAACCAGTATATTCATGCATAAATACACAGTGCACAGATACACTGAGGACATTTGGAGGACATTGAGCACATTTTTATATTTGCGAGTACAGTACGTACAAGTAGTTTATGTGTATATACTTTATGTGTTTCTGTCTTAAAGTAGTGCAATGGTAAATAATGTAGAGAAGTGGGACCTCAGACACACAGACATATAACACACACATGCAAACACACCAACATGTTCAGGCAGGTATATTCAGACAACAAAAACACAGACATGTATAATGCACACCTGCACATACTTAAATAATCTCTTTTTTCTTGCTGTTTTTAAGGCAGTTCCTTTTTCTCATACACTCCTACTTGTATTTGCACCACACTTTTATACAGACACTGACTGGCAAAGCATATTTTATTAGTCTTGTCCATTTAATCATCTGTCCTATTGTCTGATGTCTGTGCTGTGTAAGTGGATCTCCTCAGGCTTCACAGTGACAAACTGACAAAGTACAAGTAACTGGTAAAGTGCACATTTTTCAAATTGATGCCACTTCAAGTGTGCACTTCTCTTTAAAAGTGAACTCCGATCAAACTTCATCATGTAATGAATAATTTGCTTTAACTGTCTTTTTATGGCTGCCTAAAAACGGTCAAAGATATCAACAATTACTCAATAGTCAGTGTTACACAAGTATAGTATGCATGGTTTCAAATCAGATTTCCTTATAAAGCTGCGCAGAATTATACCCTAACTGCTGATCCTAATTCCAAAATGTCATCTCGCCATTGTCACACCATATCAAGGACAGAGCCTGTGGTGGTTTCCATGTTTAAAAAAAGGGACCAGAAGAGAAATGTGGAATCCATACTGGTCATGTAACATTGGACCAGCTCTTTATTCTTGCAAGGATACCAGAGGGATGATGGGAGGTTGGCCATCCAGCCTACAGGGTTTTTTTTTTATCGTGTCCCCTTGGGGATACTATGGGAATATTGGGTGACAGACAGACATTTTTGATAGAAGCCACCCAGCGGTGTATAACCAGAGGGAGAGCTGTGTCTGCATTTTTGGCAGTAAGTCATGATGGATCTTGGGCTGGGGGAAAGGATGTTAGAGGTACCTTGCTTAGCCTGCAGACACCCATTAAAATGAATAGATTGATGGTAGAGTGTGGATTACAACCATTAAACTGAGCAATTATTATTTAATATTTTCAGATAAGATGAAGTATTAACAGCTCCTACATGAGCTTAGAAACGTATACTCATTTCATTAACAATATATAGCATTTTTTAGCGAAAAGCACAGCATTTAGAATCGTAATAACAATTCATACTGTAAGATACCAGAAGAATCAGCATAAATGGAGTAAAAGCAATATTTAGACAATATATATCTTCTCTTTCCCTCTCCCTTCTAAAGACAGTACTTCCCTGATCCCCATCCGGTCCACGGAGTCCAGCTGATGAGAGTCGGAAAGTTGCAACATTACCTGGAATGCACTGAGGACGCTTTGGACACATTCAAACAGGTGTGAGTGATGAACTACTGAGAATTGCTGCAGTAAAAGCACAGGGATATTTGGTACAGTGATAGTCATTGTTGTGTCCATCATTCATATTAGTTAATAGCAGCATGTTCATTTCTCCTTTCCCAGGCCTATCAAATCATAAAGCTGACGCACGGTGACAGGCACCCCATGACCAGTGGTCTTTTGATGAAGATGGAGGAATGTCGTACTGAGATGGTTCAACATTCATCCAGCAGTCACTGAGACACAGCCTGCACTCTTGTACACCTTAGCTTCTCATAGTTTTAATGTTATGTAATGTGTATTCATCAGTCCCAATCATCAGATTTATTAGATTTGCAGAATGAACAAAAGGTCTGAAAGAGCAATATACATTTTTAGCTTAATTACATCTGATGAATGTCAGTAAGCCTACAGTCTGTTTTTTCATTTTCTCACATAGTTTATTTGATGTTGCTTTGACCTTCATTTTTCATTTTGTAAAAACTGAGTGAAATTTCTTATTATGGTTCAACAAGACATAAGTTTACAGCAATGCTAGCAGCTCTGTGAGGCTGTATCTAGTTATAAGCAAGTTTTGCATGTTGGAATGCTAATATTTGGCATTTAGCACCGAACACAGCTGCTGGTTTTTGGTCATAGACCAAAGTATTACACATAATGAAATTTCAACCTGATGGTGGCGCTAAATGAGAAGTAAAGGAATCGTAGTTCATCTTCAGGGGGACATGGAAGTGTGTAGCAAATTTTATAGTTATCCATCCAACAGACAATTTTACTAAAAACCACAGATGTCAACTTCATAGAAGAAAAAAAGTCACCAAAGTCATTGTGATTCATAGTGTGGGCTCTATATATGTCTGAACAAAGTTTTATAGCAGCCCATGAAATAGTTTTTGAGATATTTCAGTCTGGAACAAGGTGGTAATATAGGGGTTTCATATTTTCCTCAAAATAATACAGCTTTTATGAAATTACATATTACAAAATATTGCAACCCAGGGAGCATTATATACCTCATTCACTAACAATCCCTTTAAAGAAATAGTTCAACATTTTGGTTAATATGCGAGAGTGAGATGAGAAATTATATATGAATCTCAAGTCTGTGCAGTACTATGGAGAAAGAGCTGGGTGCCGATTAGCCAAGTTTAGCATGTAGTAAAGTCTGGAAGTACATGGAAACAGCTTGCCCGGCTTTTTCCCAAGTTTAATACACATACAGCCCACTACTTAACACAATGTGTTGTTTGTTTAATCTGTATCTGAAGGTACATTAAAAGATCGATTTTGCTTTGTTCAAGTTTATTGACATACAAAGTAAGCAATTCTAGTGTTCTAGAGAGAGAGAGAGAGAGGCTGTAGGCCTCTGTCTCCTGTGTTTAATCTGCACATACCATCTAGATGAGAGATGAGTGTGTGCGTACATGCGTGTGTGTTGTTTTAGTAAAGTCAGGTTTTCAAAACATCCATCTTTCCTCTTTACATATCCATCACACACTTCCCAAGTTAATCCACGTTGTTGTGTGTTACTCTGTCAGTGTGTGACTTCCAAGTTAAGCCCAGAGTGTTTTCTGATGGAATGTGGTAATGTGTTTCTCACTCTCACACACACACACTTCCCATGTTAATCCCCAAATTCTACTGTTTGCAAACTGATGACAACATTTCCTGTGTGTGTGTGTGTGTTTGTGTGTTTCTATGGGTTATGACAGGATTAGAGTGATAATATGTTCCCTTTAAGGTCACAAATAACTGACACATTTTGCTCTCTCACTACTGGAATAGCTGACATGTTAGAAACCGTTCATCCATCACAGGCTAGTTATCTGTTCAGTGTTCTCTGTTTAATGTTTCTCAGCATAACACTTCTTTCAACACACATAGTCTTTTTAATACTGACAATAATTACAGAAAAAACAACTACAACTACACTTATAATTCCCCCCCCCCCCATGTGTATGTCAGTGGCGCCCCCAGAAAATTAGGGGTGGCCGAATGGGGCCACTGAAAATCCTGGGGTGGCACACTAAACCAAAAGCCATACATTCTATTATGCACTATATAGACTAGTTGAATACTACGTAAAAATATGAGTGGAGGAATCAGACTGAATTACTTTGGTTTCTTAGTTTACAGTTAATGTTAGGCCTACTAGTTGTCTAATGTCCGTAGACTAAAACCAGTTCAATTAACATTCCATAAAAATCCTGTTTAATGTATTATCTCTATGTGTTAGGCAATTAATTGTTCCTTAAATAGGCTAGTTGACCTTTTCCTTAAAAAGACAAATATAGCTTTTATTTGTAGAAGTGCATTGATGGGGAGGAACAAAACATTTACTGGGAACAAGTCTACTCAAGATTACAGACATCATGGAGCTTAAATATATATATTTTCAATTCAAATTGAAATATACGATATGTGTCTGTATAGAGTTGTGTAATTATTTATAACATACTATTTCACAAGTTTGGTGTTATTCTTGTTACAAACAACTACGATAGTTATTCTGGAAATATCCCACTTTTTTACGATTTGACCAGTGTCATATTTATATGTAAAAATGGTGAAGCACCAACCATTTCAAAACATAGATACCAGTAAAACTACAATTCTCTCTTGCTACTGTTTTTTTTAACATGTTAACAAACAGCATTGCTCCACAAAACACGAGAGAGAGGACAAGTTACAGTACTGCTGTCACAAACCTAAATTAAGAATGCAATGTTTAAACCGACACAAACAAGCTCAGAACAAATGAGCCTATAGGGCCAAAAGCAAACAGCAGTGAGCTAAACACCGCTGAAGTCAACAGCGATGCGCACAGACAACGTTTTAGGGATCCAGAGATCCTGCAATCATAATGGAAAGAATGTCTGCCAATATATAACGTTATCCCATTCCCAGCTCTGTACCTCTCATATAGCTCAGCGAGCCAGCATATTGGCCTAATAATCCCGAATAATAAGGCAATATGAAAGTGGCTATGACACAACAATATTATGACAACAACCGTAATCCGTAGCCTAGTCTCAACCGATCCAGCACAGCAATTTGTCCCATGCAGGGACCAGCAGCAGAGTCAGGATGATAAGTGTTTGCGATGTTTACCCTTCTAAGTAATGTTGAGCCCAGTTTCACAGCATCGTCCAGATGACTCCCGCTGTTCTCACGTTTTGCAATCCTCTCAGAAAGATGAAGATGAAAACAGGCACAGGACGGTCTCCCTCGAAGAATAACGTTTACAACTGGTCACACACGACGCTGTCAGGGGCTCCAGTGTTCGTACGCTTAGCTTGCTGCTAGCGATGGTGCTAATCTGTTGCTATCTGCAGACAAATGGCTCTCACACAGTACAATACACAAAACTGTGTAGCAGTGTGACAAAGTTATTATAAACTAGCCAGGCTACTAACTGTCTCTGTACATTAATTAAATTACACTTTTCTTTCTTCTGCAGTTGGTCGCTACCTCCAAAGAAAACACACATTCGGCACAACACCAGTGTACTCCGATCCGCTCTGCCCGTTAGTCCAGCACCTTAACGAATCGGAGGCCTCTCCTAAAATAAACAACATATTCTGTCACAGCTCAGGGTCAGAGGTTACCCTCTTAAAGTGACAGAGCCTAATATGACAACATTTGTATGCTGCTATTCACCTTTTAACTCAAACGCAGGGGTTACATAATATATACAGTATATGGCATTTTATACATATGCTCCATGCCAGGGGGGGCCACTGGCGGCGCCATTGTGTGTGTTCTCTACAGGTGTTGGGCCCCACCAGGGTTGTCCCTTGTTTCCGAATCTGTGATTTTCATGGAGGCCGTGTTCTCTACCGGAAAATGGCCAACCCCCTGCAGCATGTTACGGCCACAGGTGAAGGAGATTAAGTTTCTCTGGGTCTTCTACACGAGTTAGGACAAAATGGAGCGTGAGATGGACAGGCGGATTGGGTTGAAGTCAGCTGTAATGCAGGATCATCATGGTGAAGACTGGTCAATTTACGATTGGACCTGCATTCCAACCCTCACCTATATGTGCTCACTCTTAGAGACAGGCTAAGAAGCTCAGACATCTGCTGAGCTGCTGCTTCTTCACATTGAAAGCAGCCAGTTTAGTTGGTTCGGGCATCTGATCAGGATGCCGCCTGGGCACCTTCGTTTGGAGGTTTTCTTGGCCTGTCCAACTGGTAGAAAACCCTATAGGTCTACTCAGAACGTGCTGGAGAGAGAGATCTCATCTGGCTTTGGATCCCCCTGGAGTAGCTGTAAAATGTTGCTGGGGAGAGGTACGTCAGGACTACCTTGCTTTGCCTGCTGCCAGTGCAACCCAGCCCTGGATAAGTGGCAGAAAATAGATGGATGTATGGAAATAAAGAGAAAAGGCTTTTGTTAATTGTATCTTGGGGAGACTAAATGAAGTGGATGTGAAGACTGAATGGAGTAATGCTGTAATGACCCTAGTGGACTGAATGGTCTGTGGAAGAGTCTGTCCAGCTGTGCACTGCTGCTGCTCCTACCTCCATTACTCACTTCATTGGCTCTGTTGCTTTCTGTCTCTCACTCTCTCCCTTTCTCCTCTCACCTCTTAACGGCCATTAAATTAGATTTACTATAGTAAAACCATAACCCTCTGTCTGTCCCTCTCTGTCACTCACTGTCTCTCCCCCATTTTCTGTCTCTCACTCCCCAAAGGCTTTCAAATTAAATTCACTATTCAGTGGCGGCTCGCCTCTCTCTTTCGCCGTGTGTCTCTGCAGGCAGCCTGAGCCAATCACAAAAAAGGACACTGAGTGGTTTTAACCCATCTTCATTCACTCACCCTCTAGCTATTTACTCTCCCCCATTTTCAATTTTCACATTTATTTCAGAGACACTCCCCTCTGTCTCCCCCCTGCACCACCTCACCTTTACACTCTCTTTACTCTCTGCCTGCTATCATCTCTTTTTTATTATCACATCTTCCATTTACATTGTTATTGTACCTACAGACCACAATCTGTAATCCAAATGTAAACCCACCTCTAAGAATCAAGCATTGGCATTGGATGATAACTAAATCAAAGTTTTCCAATTCTGTTGTATAAGGTTTCTTATACTGAAAAGCTGCTATTTTCAAAGTGTAATAATACCCAGAGACAGTAGATTTTATCTCAGGTATCAATTCCCACTATGTCAGTGACTTTAAAATGAAAAGCCAGACAAAATCTCTGTTCTCTGACCACCCCACTCTTAAGTACTGTTGAACAGAACAGTAACTGCCTCTATTGCAGCTACATGCACACATTTAAAAATCACCATGAGCCCCGGTTGAAGTGAAAGTTGCTTGTTTCTTTTATGGTGATTTTTTAGCCATGTTAGAGCCATGACTCTAGGGATGGTACTATCGGTCGGTCTGTCGGTTGGTGGGTCCGCTGCTTTGCTCCTCACTGGATGGATTGCTGTGATATTTTTTTGTACACACATTCTTGATCTCCAGTGGATGACTCCTACTGACTTTGGTGATTACCCTGACATTTCCTGTAGGCAACCAGCAGGTGAAAGTTCACACCTGTGACTTACTGGTATATACATTTACTTAATGGATTCGCACCAGTCCAGACATTCATGTGTCCCAGACAGGGACTTCTAAAGACTGGTGATAGATTTTTCCTCTTGTGCCACCTTACAATGACATTTAGTTCAAACATTCATGTTTCTCTCATTATAAACTCTAATCCCTTTGGTTATCTCTTATCTTTTCTCCATCTTCAGGTCGTATTTTATATTTGTCCAGTATTTTGGTTTATAGCTTAAAGAGGTAACTGCAGAAGCTACATCAGTGCGGTGAACACACAGGGTGAAAAGAGGTGCTACCTGAAAATGAGCATAATATGACCACCTTAATAATAGCAAATGTTAGCAATCTAATGCACAAAAAATAAAATGTTAATGCTGATGTTAGCATTTAGCACCACCAAAGTTCAGCCTTAAAGAGCTACACCCAGGTGTAGTAGTTGCTGTTAGAGTTGTTTCAAATATTTTTACTTTTTAGTAAGTTTATGTTATTATAATTAGATGAGTCACTATGACTAAATTTATTTCTGGAGAACAGCATTAAGTCACCACATTAGCTGTAGTTAAAATTAAAAAAATAATTTGTTAAATCCCTGTTAAGAGTGAAGTATATTTTGCATGTGAACTGCCTGAAAACCACATTGAAGTAAAAAAGATTGAAGATAACATTCAAGAGTTAATCAGTGGGGTTTTCTAGTTCTTTATAGAAGTACACTGTGTTCAGCCATTGTTCTTTAGCCCATATTATTAAAGTGGCCTAATTCCACAAATGGCTATTATAGAGAGGGAAATTACGAAAAAGATTCACTTGTATAAAACAAGATTACTATTATTACGAACAATTATCAAATTAATTACCAATCTCAGGGACTACAACAACACGGAACATTGGACTTTAGCAGGGAAATTAATTTTGCCATCCTGGGCAAGGAATTAAACTCTTTCTCTTGCCCAAGATAAATCATTTTAGAGAATAGGTGAAATTAAATGTTTTTTTTTTATTACCTGGATCCACTTGTCTCCCTATTTTGTCCTCCCTAACCTCACCCATCTTATTTCTCTTGCACGGCTTCAGCTCTTTTACACCTCGTCCCCCTCTTCTCCACTTTTCTAATCCTTTCTTCTTCTTCACTTGACTTCCCTCTTACATTGCAATCCCCCTTTGCCACCTGTATTCTCCTCTCTTCTCTCGCCTATTCTCTCCCTCTGTCTCCGATTCCTTCCTTCCTGTTCTCTGCTTTGCGTGGCTGATCAAAGCAGGCTCAATAGGGCAATATGTCACCTAGAAAGCTGCCTGCAGGCTATTAAAGGTGTACACACACACACACACACACACACACACACACACACACACAGGAAGGGATATCTAGTAAAAAACAGGATGTATAAAGAGCTGCAGGTCTGTTTGACCGAGGACGAAGCTGAGCTGCACACAGAGAGCAGAGAAGAGAGGCCACAGGACTGGATGAAGCTCTTTGTCTGTATTCACACAAAAATACTTCCCACAGTGTTGTGCGGAGATGTGGCTGTGTTTATTTAACGTAATCCTCCCTCTCTTCATTCTCTCTCTAGCTCGCTTGACCATCACTGCTCTCTCTCGCTTGTTGAGCTGTGGAGGAGGGGTGAACTTTGAATGGTGTGGTTACAAACAGCAACTGACAAACTCTCCTCATTCTACCTGTAACAAAACCCAAATGCTATTTTGTGTATTTTTTAGAAAGCCACCTAGAATTAAATAGCCAATAAGAATATTGAATTATGGTTTATTACCAGCATTCCTTGTGAGAGAGTTGGGGTTATTTTTGCATGGTTATTTTGGAAGGAGCCTTTCCCAATATTCCTGTGACATGTGACTGATATCTCACTTGTTAGCATCTATTACAAGATTATGGTTTCCAGGCACAGTCAGCTGACTAAGACAGGAGGCTGCAGTGGAAATAGTTTCTCTATGTTCATCAGTCTTTTCTCGAGTTCTGTGGAAGAGACGTGGGGGACAGGGTTTGGCCATATCTGGCAGAAATAACTGGATCATAACAAATTTCAAAATATCTTAGAAGAAACAAATGAACGGTTGAGGCTTTGCAGTGATCAACTGCAGGCTACCTGACAGTGGAATAATATTGTTATCCCAAATAGAAAGTGACTAATGATACCAAAATTATTTTTAGGTGATGTGGAAAAACACATTGCTAAAAACATACTTTCTTCTATTGAAAGTAACCACACGCTGGATGTCTGGCTGATGCTTAGTTGACTATTCTATAATGAAAGAATGAAGAATCAGATGTGAAACTCTTTCAATACATTTCTTTATTTACATCCCTCCAGCTTGCTCTTCCATCAACACAATGTGTCAGACCACATTTCTCAGAAACAGTAAATCTGCAGAGGACGTTATGGTCGTTGTCTTGAATCATGGAAACGACATAGTGAAAATCTCACACTTCTTATTCTCTTGTTTGCACAGATCATGTCTCGTAACTCTTCTTAATACTCAAAGGAAATAACTCATTGTTCTACTCAGCAGATTGGCACTTTTAACTGACACAAACAAACTGGTTTTATCAGTTATGTAGAGATTTTCCAACCAGTGACCCACTGCCTTACTACTGATCAGATCTCTGTGTCTTTCTGCTACTGATAAAATCTGTTTCTGGAAAATGTGTTCTGACCCAGACTTTAAAACACAGTACTTAAAACTGCTATGTGTCAGATTTCCAGATAACACACTATAATTCCTAAATACTCCAACCTGATAAAACAGATGGCATTTGGTGAATCATTTTATTTAAAGCACCGGACAGTGAGTACATCCCTTTTAGCATGGTTGCCTCTCATGAAGTACAAACAAACAATTTGAGTGTTACATTATCTTTTAACGATATGGGTCCCCCAAAACCTCAGGTGTTCTTCACAATTATTGCTAGAATTATAAAGCGCTACCACGGCAGATTTGGCAGTGACACATCAAGGAAGAAACGTCACACATAGCATTTTAAATCTGGAAACAAACACAGGCTGTTTAGCTCATCCAGAGGTTGGGGTTCCCGAAACATTCACTTTTAAGTACACAAGGCTGTAGTTAATACTGCAGAATATACTGTTTTGTGTCAACAACACGGTTTTCTTCTTCACATGTGAAAAAATAATTTTTAAGTTCTGGTCTGGTTCTGTAATTAATCGACCGAAATTCCTGTTAGCTCAAACTACCTTGGATGTGAATGTTTAAGGAAATCCAAACCCATTAAAATCTCCAACAGGAACAACAGGAGCAAAGTAAAATTAACAGGAAATATATAAAATAAAAATGAGCGTACATATGATATGTGTATAAATATTTATATATGACATGGGCTCAGCAAAGTATGTACAGTTATTTTTTTTCTTTTTCTTAAATGCATAGTAACTTTTAAGATCATAAGGTGTAAATAAATAAGAGCATAATAATAAGCGACTCTGCTCTCCTGAGCTCAAATAAATAAACCTTCATTCATGACTGGCACGGTGAACTGAAACGATCAGAGATGTCACAGGGCTGCTTTGCCTGCCTCCTGTGAAAACCCTTCATGGGTCTAGTCTGTCAAAAGCATCTTAGTTTCTGGGGTAATTTCCCACTAGGTTATGTTGTGGCTGTCATCGCAGGTGTACGCCACATGAAATTAATGACTGTTACCGCTTTACGCAGCCATGAGAAGATCAAGACCATAAACACATAAAGTAATTTCCTGTTTCTCTGCTAGTCCAGTGGAAATGATAAAAAGCTGCGTTTGCTCTATTAGGATCAATTTAGCACTACGACGCTTTTGACAAATCAAACCAATATCATTACAGCCTTTCCACTCCTGTGAGCTGGTGTCTTATTCATCCTTTACCTCTGAGACAACAAACAGGATCTCCCAAAATGCTCTCTGCATGCTGGACAAAAGGCATTCAGAGGAGAGGTTGACGATGTCGAGGACAGCAGACGATGTAGAAGAAGCATTCGAATGGTATTGTTCCGTATTTCAGAGGGAAACAGGCTCTTTCATATATTTATATTTGTACAAACATTTAGATCATAAACATCTCAAGCACCATAGATACTAATATCAACAAATCATAAGTGTTGCTATCCGTCCAAAAAAATGGAACCAGGCAGAGATCTTCTTAATTTGGTTATCATCCTTTTCTTTCTTTAGTTCTCTTACATTACTTTAAATATAGATTTTAGTTGCTTCTTTTATTATGTCTGTGCCCTTTCAATAAAAGACAATACTGGATCTATTTAAATAGCCCACTTATAACCATAGTCTAAATTTGTTTAGACTTTGTTTCAATAATACAGGAAGGAGGACATTTTAACACTGAATATCAATGGGCTTATCCTGTACCTGTACCTTCCTCCCAATTTACTCTTAAATATCTCTTTAACCTATTGTCATTATCCTACTTTCATACAGCGTCTCTACATGGTCCCATTGCACTCAAATAAAAAAGGATACCTTATTATAAAACACACACATTGACGGATCATTCAGTTTCTTTTAGAATAGAGCAGAACAACACGGATACAAACAACAGACAGCGTGCCTGTCAATCAGTCTGACAGTGAAGTCAATCGATGGATGTACTTCACACACTGGATCAGAGAAGAAACATTTTCATTTCCACTCCTACGTGACTCAGATCTTTCATTGCTTTGTGAACATGAAAAAGCCATCACATCTGGATCAGGGGAAACGTATGCCCCAGAGGGTCAAAATTCAGATATGCTCTGTTTGTGAGTGAAGTCAAGGTAAAAATATCCACCACCGCAAGAAACTAGAGTTAGTGTGTGTGTTTTTTCTTTTTTTGAAACACAAACAACTCTGTGTCCTGGAAAAATCATGTAAGTTTTTCAAATTAGATTTTTTGTCCTTGCAAAAGTTTTGTTGTTTTAAAGAGGACTTGGTATTAATCTCCATGTTCCGTAGGTCTTCTTTAACTTTTTTAATTGGGGATCCAGTTTGCACCAGTGTACAAAAGACTATTTAAACATACAGTCTGTTTATGATATTGTGAAACACTGACCCACAGTAAAACATCACATTTAGTAATGGCTATAAGTTCAAAGATTTTCCAAGGACACTGACCTTTTGTGTTGTTTTTTCTTCTATGCTAGCACCATACTGACTGCAAGTACACAAATTCAGAGAGATAGAGAATTGGTCTGGGTATTGTTGAAATGTTCACAAGGCACTTATCTGAATCATTTTTCTTTGTCTTCCTGTCTTTCTCTTGGTCAGTCTCTTTTATTAACCACACAACAATACCAGACAATTCTGTAGTCAGCACTCTGTATTTACAGCCGATGGCTCTCGACAGCGTAAACTCTAAAAAGTGCTCTTCTAAAATGATAGGAGAAATTGTTTTTCTTCTCTCCTGCAACTCTTTTTTATCTTCTTTGTTTAAAAAATTACAGTTTTTGTTCCTCTCTAAACTCCTTTCCTCCCCATACATTCCTAAATGTTTGACTCAGTCTTAGAGGCCTCTCAGCAGTCCAATTGTTCACTTGGTTATGTTTGATGTTTCTTTTCAGACTCAGAACCATCTGTCTGCCCCTTTGGGCAGCCACATTTATCTGATTCAAAGTTGCATGTCCGTTAGATGCTGTTCAATGTCTGTTTCTGAGGTTGTTTCCAAACCACAAGAAAGAAATCTACGGACTCTTCTGTCTCTATATATCTCCATTCCTTTTATCCCACCATCACTCCATCCATCTGTCCTTCTGCTTACTTACATCTGGAGGAGACATAAGGATGACATGCAGGATCTAGCGGTCAGTCCATCCCTGTATCCCTCCTTCCCAACTATCCAGTCACCCAGTATTTGTTTGTTTAGGAGATATTTTCGAAAGGTGTTTGATTAATCAGGGGTCAAAGGTCCAAATGTCGACATCTAATTGAGTCTAGCTGTGTGTCTGTCTCTCCGTCCTCCAGGGCTCCATCCCTCCATCTGTCTACCGATGTCTTGAGGACACGTCAAAGCAGGTGATCATCATGAGGTGGGCTTTGCAGAAGTTGACTCTGCTCTCCAGTTTGTCCGTCACTGTCTCCAGAGCTTCCAAATACTCCAGAGAGTCCACTTCGTAGGCCTGCTGTAGCTCAACTGGGTATGGACAGACAGGCAGAGAAAAAATATGACAAATCTTGCTAAGGCAAGGTTACAGTATATGTACTTGTGAGCATATACATCCTTTTAAAGGGAGAGTAAGTGATTGTGCAGAAGGGTTGTTGATATTTGAACTCAACAGCTAAACAAATACACTCCACCAAATCTCTGAGGTTTCTCCAGCATTGAAACGCCGTAGCCCATCTCTCCTTCTTTGCTGTGCCTGGAGTCCAGCACGTTCGAATGTGCTGGAGTATAGAACTCTCTCTCCTACTGCCCGCCTCCCCCCATCACGGGCACTACCACCACCTGTTGCTGATTGGCTGGAGCAATGTTGTGTGGCCAGGTCCACACCACTTTCTTTTTCCATAAATGGAGCCAGGGCTGTGTAGGACAACTGGAGCTGAAAATAGTCCCAACAAATTTTACTCCTGTTTGAGTAAAGTTTGCTAAAAACTGCAGTGCCCAGCTGTTTTAGGACAGTGGTTCTCACACTTTTTCATGTCAAGGACCCCCTAAACTCACACAAATTAGACCACAGAACCCCATCTGATAGGATTTTGCATTTAGATGTTTTATTACAGAAAGTGTATGAAACCCATGACCAAAACAGTCATACGTTCTGTCGTTATTTATGGATGGAATTATAGTAAAAATAAATCATTCTCCTTTTTGCTGATCCCACTTTGAGAACCACTGT